TATATCTATATCTATATCTGGGGGTACAGGGTCTCACTACACAGCTGGACTTGTAGTGATTCTCCTGTTTTCAGCTTCCCCAGTGCTGGGATTACAGGGGTGTGCCATCACGCCCAGTCTAGGTGGCTGGCTCAGTGCATCCAGGGGTGTGGGAGGCATGGCATGTGGTACTAGAGATTGAACCCCAGTCACTGTGCTTGCCTAAGCAGGGGCTTAGTTCTTCTACTCTCTTCTTTTAATCTGCAGGTGTCAGGTACTGTGTCTTGGCAATGAGAAAGTGACTACAACAACGTTACACTCAAATACTCAAGATTATATAATTATTTAAGTCCTATCACAATAGAAAAGAAAAAACTCAAATGTCCTTTGTTCACTCACGGCATGAAGTGAGTCTGGTATCTAACTTGTGAGTCTGGAAAAGTATGGCTAAATTTCTTTTGTTACACATTAATCATGGAAATGTGACACTCACCTGGAACAATGTCATTCCCTCCTTTATTCTTTTCTTTTCTTTTTTTTTTTTTTTTGTGGAACCGGGGATTGAACTCAGGACCTTGCGCTTGCCAGGGAAGCGCTTATTCCACTGAGCCATCTCCCCGCCCCCCCTTTTTTTCTTTTCTCTTTTTCTTTTTAATTTTTATTTTAATTTTAATTTTTTTCATTCCCTCCTTTAAATAAAAGCCACAACAATACCACCTGCCTCTTTTAAAGCAAACCTTATACAACTAAGTTTTACCACCAATTGCCCAGTGTCTACTGACACTGAAGAGGAACAATCTCATTGAGTTACCATCCTTTTTTAGTTTCTGTAACTCTTTGCCTTTTTACTGATGTATGAACATATTATACATAATTTAAATGTCAACTGTAAAAACAATAAAAAGAGGTCCCATTTCAGTTTTGGAATTCTTTCCTGAGATGCCAAAAGCTGGGGAACATCACAGCTGGTTATATGTTATCTAGAAACACCTGAATCAGCCAGACATGGTAGCACATGCCTGCAGTTCTAACACTTGGGAGGCTGAGGCAAAAAAACTGCCTTATGAGACCCAAAAGCTACAGCTCTTGTTGCATAGGTCTTGCTTTATCTTGGTCTTAACCATCCAGCAGAAAAGTATAAAAACGTATAAGAAGTAAAGTCATGCTGTTATGGTGAGCTGTAGGGGACTCAGGTCAACAATTTCTGACATTGCCAGTGAAGTGGAAGACCCAATACTATTATGGACTACTGGACTCATAGAATATTTTGCTGAGTTTACACACCTATAATATACAAATAACGGAACTAAACAAAAAAAGGGATATAGATGAATGTCCATTTTGTATCTGTGTATTCAAAATGGTTAGGATAGATATATAGTTACATTCTCTTAATGAATAGAGGGATTTGTTCTAATAGTGTTTGTAAAGAGGATATCATGTCCGCATCTTGTACAGCAAATAACCACTAGGAAAAATGTATACAATGTGTTAATTACTGAAACTGTCCTACCAATTTGGTTTGAAACTGTCTCATTGCTATTTGTTTCTCAATAAAGTTATGGGGGGGGGGGGAGAAAAAAGAGAACTGCCCTGAGTTTAAGACCAACTTGATTATACAGTCTGATCAAGACCAGCCTGAACTATAGGGGCAAGACCATGTCTCAACAAAACAAAGCCTGGGGGCCTGCTGGTTAGTTTAGTTGTTTAAGTGCCTGCTCATGCAAATGCAGTCAGGTGCAGGATACCTCAGGTTGATCCCCACTTCCACCTGCATCACCAGACCTGCCCTCAAGCAGCCTGAGCTGGCTAAGAAAAAAAAAAAAAAAGCAAAACAAAACAAAGCCTGAATCAAGAATCAGGGATGGGAAAGACATACTATGAGATATTTAGTCCATTTTCATGGGGTCGGGTGGGGTGACAGAATTATTCTAAATTCCTATGGCTTAAAATAATCTATGTGGCAGCTTTTAAAAATAACATTTATTATGAACTTTGATCTTAACTTTCTTTTTTTTTTTTTGATCTTAACTTTCTATTACACATTCCCAAGATGTGTATGTTCCAGACTCTTTTCTTGTTTGCGGAACTGGGGATTCAACTCAGGCCCTTCTCTTATTCTACTGAGCCATCTTCCCAGCCCCTATGTTCCAGATTCTGATGTAAAAAGGAAATTGTGGGCTAGGGGTACAGCTCAGTGGTAGACAGTTTGTCTAGCATGCACAAGACTCTGGGTAGGATGAACACAATGGGGAGAGGAGGACTGAGACAAGAAGAAAGGGTAAGGAGGAGAAAGAGGGAGAGGGAAGAGGGAAGGAGGAAGACAAGAAGAGACAGAAAAGGGAGAAAGGGAAAGGGATAGAGAAATAGATACCCAGATCAAATAAATTTACAAGACCTATTTTTTTTTAATTTTATTTATTCGTGGGGGGGGGTGGCAGCTCAGCCCACCAGGGAGCAGGGCTGGCTGGCATGTGGTGCTGGGGGATTGAACCGCGGTCCCTGTGCTTTGCTAAGCTCGTTCTAAGTAGGTGCTTTAGAGCACTGAGCCATCTCACCAGCCCCAAGACCTACTCTTAGAAATCTTAGGGTCCTTAAAATATTGATGGGAGGGAGGAAGGGCAAAAAAAAAAAAAAAAAGCTAGGTACAGTGACATACTATCTATAGCCCAAGCTACTTAGAAGAGTGGGTCAGCAAGGAAAGGGGATAGTCTATGCTCAGGAATTGGAGATCAGCCTATGCAACACAGCAAGTTCCCAGAAGAGAGACAGCCAACTAGAGAGACACAGCAAGATCTCAAAAGAGAGGAGAGGAGGTGCGGGGAGGGTAGTGAGCAGACAGAGCAAGATCCCAGAGAAAAAATGGGGTTAGGGAGATGATTATGGGACAGACACAGAGGAAGAGTAAGAAGGGAGGAAGATGGAAGAGTTCTCTCAAGTTCACAGAACCAAAGTCAGGGCTTCACAGAAATAAGTTCATTTCTTTGAGACTAATTATGAGAGGTAGGCAATTTTTTAAAAACTTATGTTGGAAGACCTCTTCAAGAAAAATACACAATATGACAAAACTTGATGAGGTCATATATGGATTATGCTTAAAATGAGACTTTTCTTGGAAGTTGCCCTGATGTATTTGTCATAGTATTATCGAAACTAAACATGTTAAACCCACTCAACATAAAGAGCATGAAACAATTTTCTCTTACTCTACTTAGGATGAGACTGCTATTAGTTTCCCTTTTGTTCTACAACAGGCCGCTTTAACATAGCACAAGATAAGATTAATGTACATGTTTTCTCAGGCTCACCTTTATTCTGGGAGTCAGCTTCAATTCTGTGTTTTAAGGACTGGATTTAAATCTTAACTCAACATACAAAATGAAACATTGAGCAGCACTAACAAGCACATGTACTTATTAACTTCTCTGTGGTTGAACCAGAGATTATACTAAATTCCCATACTTTCTCCCTTTAAAACTAGAAACTGATTGCTTTAGCCAGGTAATAGTTTCTTACCTTTACATCAGCAATAAGGGCATCTTCATCTTCTATTCCTGTGGGGACACACTTCTTGTGCAGTGGCAGAGATTCCAACTTATCTACAAGGCAGCGAAGGCCTTCAAGCTCAAAATGGGTCAGATGCACTTGCCTGTCCTTTTGGGGGCTACACTGGGGGTCCCACACTTGGCCATTATGGGAGCCCCGGCTAGAATCAGAGGAAGAGTCCCCAGACAAAGTTTTCTTCAGACTTGGAAGACTTCGACAGGTTTTGCCCAGGCCATCATAATCCAGGTTGACCCCGTTGGCTACAGGGCTGGTAAGCACAGAACGCCTACTGCTCAAGCGTCGGGATTCTCGGTCTACTCCTTCCTCATCCCCATTTCCAGACTCCAATCCATTTAATTCCAAATCTACCAACACAAAGAAAAAATGGAGAAAGACCAAGTCACTTGGCCATGCAATCAGTAAGACATATAGATGGTATGGAAAGGGTCTTGAGATTATAAATGATGGAGCTCTCACATTTAAATATTGTCTCTCTTTATTCCAACTCATTTGCCCACTGCTGAAAATCATGGTAAGAGGTAGATCCTGCTCTAGTAGGACAACTAAGGTAATGATCAATATTGGGAAGAATCCTGTCTTTGTGTACTAAAAATAAGCTACCCATGAAAGAGGCTATATGTTACTTTCAAATTTAAGCTTAAATTTGGGATTATAATTTCACTATCTTCTAAAAGAACAGACAATACTAAGTAAATAAAATTAAGCTTTATAGGCAGTTCAAATCCCAGCAACATGGAGAGTACAATGAAGCTTTTTTTTTTTTTAAAGGAAAATGTTGATAGTTAAACACAGTGATAATGTTTACTAGTCCTATGGCATACCTTTAGTACTAATAATTTAGAAAGTATATGATGGTACAAGGAAGTTAAGTCACCCCTTACCCCTCTACTCTAGAATAACAACTGAATGATGTACTGTATTTTCTTTCCATCTTTCCTCATATACATGTGTGTATGACTAGGAGGGGGAGACTGGGGATTGATCTGAAGGGCTCCTTCACAATGAACTATCGCCCCAGTCCTTTCTTATTTTTTGTTTTGAGACAAGGTCTCTCAAAGTCATTAATTTGTTGGATGGGCTTGAACTCATAATCCTTTGTTGTTTTTTTTTTTAAGACAGGGTCTTGCTATATTAAGTCAGGATGACTTAGAACTAACTCACAGTGATTCTTCTGCTTCAGCCTTCCATATGCTGTGATTACAAGTGTAAACCCCTATACCTGACTCTTATTAGATATACTTTAAAACAAAATTGAGCAGCAGCACTTGGGAGGCTGAGGCAGGAAGACTGCTGTGAGTTTGAGGCCAGTCTGGACTACAAAGTGAGTTCAAGGTTAGCCTGATGTACACAGTGAAACTCTGTCACAAAAAGACAAAAAAGAGGAGGGAGCAGGAATAGGGTTGTTGTTAGTCATTTGCTGCTTGCTACTTATTCTACCTTCTACCTGTTATGAGCTGTTTTTCTTATGTAGTGCCCCTCTGTCTGCCCTGTTGATCTACCTTGGAGCCAGCCAACTATGAACTTAAACCTTGACTAAAGTGAGAGTCAAAAATGAACTTTTCCTCCTTTTACCTTGGTGTCAGGTATTTTGTCTCAGCAATGAGAAAAATGAAAGACACCTGACTTTTAGAGTATTTGTTCTCTCCTTTTGTATCACTGCCTGCTGAATTATCAAAATGACACAAAGAGCTGTGCGTGATAGTGCATGGCTGTAATCCCAGCTGAGGCAGGGAGGACTACTGAGGTGACTGAGGCAGGAGGACTACTGAGTTTAAAGGCCAGCCTGGGCTATACAGTAAGCTCAAAGCCAGCCTGAACTGCATAGTGAAACCTTGTCTCAAAAAAAAAAAAAAAAGACAAAAATAGGACATTTTTTGGGCATGGTGGTACATGCCTATAATCTCAGCACTCAGATGGCTGAGGCAGCAGAATATTGTGAGTTCAAGACTAGCCTGGCTATCAAGTGAGCTAGGTCAGCCTGAACTGCATAGCAAGACCCTGTCTAAAAAGGACAAAAGTAAATAAATATTTTTAAAAATATGTTATGTATGTATGCATGTATGTATGTATGTATGTATGTATTTGGTACAGGGTCTCAACTAGGCAGCTCAGACTCGTATTCAGGCCCTTGAGCTTGCCAGGCAAGTGCTTATTCTACTGAGCCATCTCCCTAGCCCTGCTCAGACTCATAGTTATTCTCCTGTCTCAGCCTCCCCAGTGCTGGGATTACAGGAACACACCATCACACCTGGGGGGGAATCTCAGGCCAGCACAGCATGTGGTGCTGGGGATCAAACCTGGGTCCTTGTGCTTACCAGGCAGATGCTTAGACCACTGAGCCCCCAATAAAAATAAAACAAAATTGGATCACACTATATACAATTCTATACTTCAGTTTCATATGTTGGATTAGTTTTTTTAAATTTTCACACGAGTCTAAACTATGAGCAAAGTTATACAGTTAAGAAGAAAATGCTAAAGCAAAAGGTATCTTCTTTAGATTGAAGAATCCAAAGAAACCTGTGATCACAGCATATTATAGTATTGGCTTCTCTCCAATGTGAGACATGGAAAAAGTCTAAAAATGTATACTGAAACTACCAGTAAAACATTTCTCATTATAGATGTTGGGGAAATGTTAGAGTACAAAGGTTAAGAGCATAGATTTTAGAGTTGCACCAGTGTGATTCAAGCTGTAGCTTACTCACTTATTAACTGTAAGATTCTGGGCAAGTTTTAAAAAATCTTTCTCAACTTTATTGTTCCCATTTATAAAATGGAGATAATTATACATACAGTAAACTATTTAGTAAAATGTCTGGACAAGTTTATTTTGTTTTGCCTGCCTCAAGCAAGACTAGGCTAGTCTTTTTTTTGTTTTGTTTTGTTAAGTCTTGAACATACCTAGGCTAGCCTCGAATACACCTGTAAGTCTAGCATCTTGGGAGGCTCAAGCAGGAGAATCACCAGTTTGAGTCCAGTGTGAGCATTTTAGTGACTACGCAAGACTGTCTCAAAATAAATACAAGGAAAAAGGGCTGGGGGTGTAGGTCAGAGCAAAGGCCCTGGATTCAATCCCCAGTACCACAAAAAATCTTTTTATGCAAAATATCAGACAATTTATGTAGGTAGAATACTTACCCATGCTGAGAGATTCTTTCTGAAATTCCTTAGTCAGGTGGGAACGGTTGGTTATACAGTATACATAGCGCTCCAACACATACCAACACATCTCATAGTAGAATGGATAGCGGAACTTATTTGGAACCTACATGGAGACAGAATGATAAGGTGGTGATACTTTTCAAGGAAAGACAAACTGAATCACAATAATTAAGATAATTAAGACAGTCAAACTCAAGCTGGCATTTAAAGCATGAGCCTGAGTCAATCCATGAACTTAGAAAATATTGGCCTGTGGGGCTGGTAAGATAGTTCAGCAAATTAAGTGCCTATTTAGGCAAGCACAGGGACCGGGATTCCATCCCCAGCACCACATGCTGCACCAGCCCCACCCCTGGACACACTGAGTCAGCCACTGAGTCTGGGCATGGTGGCACATGCCTGTAATCCCAGCACTGGGGAAGCTGAAAACAGGAGGACCACTATGAGTCTGAGCTGCATAGTGAGACCCTATACCAAA